CAGAGGTTCATCAGCCCAGCAGCAATCATAACTGTGACTGGGTGGCTGTATGGCCTGAGATCCCGGGCAACCAGACACTCAACCTGCATGGGCCAGCATGCCTAGGAAGACTTACAGATTTGGTAAACACACTAACTTCAAAGGGTCTGAGATCTTCAAGCATAAAAGGACAAGAGGAAATTGTGATGATAATAGACAGAAAAGGTAGAAAAGTTGAAGAAAATAAGGTGTTATGGGCTTCAGACAGATTTCAAGATAGCTGTGCTCCTAAAGATCAGTCTGATGGGATCATTCTAGATCAAGGAACTACTCAGAACAAGTGGATTCCCTTCCACTGTGCTTGCCCAGGCTTCCTTCTTGAGAAAACCAGGCCTTGGGGAAGGAGGGGTTAGTATGCATCAAGGCATTGCTCCAAGCTTGGCCACTGTGAGCTTCTGAACAAGGGTTTTGCAGGTTTACAATTTAAGCATACTGTGGACAGAGTGCATAGATTATGTTGACTTGGTTTCCTTTACATACAACATTTGAAAAACTTTGTGGAATCAATGTGTTATGGAACAGAGTTCAGTGTTCAGGCCAGTCTCTTAGAGAAAACCTGCAGTGTTACAGGTATGTGTGTTAAATGACTTTTCAATGCTTGGCACCTTCTGACTTCTTTTAACTGAAGATTTGTCACTCTGTGTTTTACAGCTGAGAGTTTATGCCCAGCCACTGCAAATACACACAGCAGAATACGCAGCAAATGTAACAAAAATTGTATTCGACTTCTTTGAAGAGTACTTTAATGTGAGCTATTCTCTTCCAAAACTAGGTGATTATTAATACTTACTTTTATTCATTTTATTAATTCATTGTAACAGTTATGTTTCTCCTTAAGGTCTCTCTGCTTTGGTGGAAAACAGCACAAAAGCATTTAGTTGCTAGCTGCTGCTATGATGTCAGGATGTTTTAAAACTGTACCATGTGGTTCAAGATGTTCTTAAATGTCACGAGGGTTGGTCTCAGTAACAGTTTTGTTACCAGTTCTCACCGTTCAGTTTGCTGAACTGAAGCACCAGTCCTGGTGTGGTTATTTTCAAGTGTCTTGTGGAAAATCAGGGAAGCATTGGTGTCATCAGCAAAGGAACATAATGAGCTAAAATAGAGCCAGAAGAAGTTTGAGAAAAATATGCACCACTTCCATGGGAACTTCTTGACAAAAGTCAGCAGTGAGATAAGTGAAGATGTAAACTGCCGGAAAGAAAGTCATACTATTTATTAACCTTAGTGCAAAGTGGGTGCGTATCCACTACTTAGAATGAGCGTGGTCTGGCATATAATTTGTTGTTTCTACTGCTGGGCAAAATAAAGACCCAAAGCTAAACAAGAGTGGACACACTATCAGATTTTGCCCATGGTTACAAAACAAGCAAAGAAAAAGTAGTCTAATTGGGTATCCTTTAGCTTGGGCTATTTGGACTCTGGATGTGATTTGGGCTATTTGAACTAATAAAGTAGAGAATACAATCGAAGTTTTGGAAATGCCCCCTCCTAAGACCTCCAAAGAGGTAATTCAGTTAGTTCATGAACTTAAAAGGATGGAAAAATATTAACCACAAACAAGTTAAGGCAATATAATGGGGAAAAACAAACAAACAAACAAACAACTTTGAATATGATTAACAATGCTATGCAAACCTTCTACTGGCTGCTCATACATGTACCTATTAGTACATATATGTACTATTAGGCTGACTTCTGTTACTTTAACAACACATTTTTACCTCTTCCTTTCAAAAAACATCATCTGAGTTTACTGAAAATATATGTTTGCATGACAGCCAAATTAGGGAAACCAGCTCTTTCATACACTGGTAACCCAGTAATAATTGAGACTATATCTCACTGTGCTTCATATTCAAACTTTTGTAAGAGTATGGATAGGGGCCTGTCTGCACTACAGGGTGGACTGGTAATCCTGGATCAGACGTTATCAGAGGGTAGATGCTCTTGTAGATTTTATACTGTTTCTCTCAGAATGTCTATTTGTTGGATAACAGATCTGGGTTTATGATGTTGTTCCCTCAGTATGAAAAGTCATCTAGATCAACCCTGATAAATCAAATATGTTTATGCATAATGATTTGTTTAAATATTGTGTTTCATGTTGATTTATGGCCTCTAGCATTGACATTCTCTTTGTGATTCCCTTTTTGACTGTCAATGAAGCCCTTGGCTGACTATTAGCTGTGATTCTGTAATTAAATTGTTTAAACTAAAATAAGAAAAATCCCTATCTTCTGTTAGCATGTGGTTTGTCTGTTCTATTCAGTTTTAAATCCACCTATACTTTTTTAATAACCCCAAATAATGTGATTTCATTAGCAGAAGAAAATGCCAGGCCAAGTGAACCCACAATTCTAATTTAAACCTGTATTGATTAATGGCCCTAAATGAGTGACCCCCACAAATTGCCAGGAGTAGAAGCAGATGTTGTTCACTACATGGGGGATTTACTTCAGTTAACATGTCAATAAATATTTTTCATACAACAGTGTGACAAACTATGACATGCCTCATTATGCTGCAAATAGTTTCAGGAGGTTTACTGCCTACAACACATCCCCAGACAATACTACTAATTTCTGGAGCCAAAATTAAATAATGTATGATATGCACGCTCTAGGAGGTGGCATACCATCACCTCGCAGGACAGATCCTCAGTAGTGCAACTGATCCTAGCTCCATTAATCTCAGTAGAGCCTTGCTATCAGCTGCCCTAGGCCAGTTCCCAGATTCTTAAACACAGATTACAGACTGCAATCTGCAGTGGTAAGCCAGAACCACAGATGGTAAGCAAAACAGGCTGTGAATACACAGAAAGGGGACCAGGTAAGTGGTATAAAGGATAGAGTGGTAATCATGTTCTCTTTCTTTCAATGTAGATAAAATAGCTATTCCAGATTTCGGGACAGGTGCTATGGAGAACTGGGGGCTGATCACATACAGAGAAACAAACCTGCTGTATGATCCCAATGAGTCGGCCACTTCCAACAAACAGAGAGTAGCTGCTGTGATAGCCCATGAGCTTGTTCATCAGGTATATTTTTACAACTCATTTTTACAGTGCTTCATTTTAATCTTGCAAATACTGTTGTTAACTCCATCTCAGGATCTTCTACACGTGCTCACAAGTTGATTGCAAAGTTTCACCTTAAAACAGTTCCCCATTAGAGCTTTACCTACTGCCTTTGAGCTCTTCTCTGGAAGTTAGATGCTCAGGTCTAGACAGTGAGCTAGTTTATGAAAATCGCTCTGAAATGTCTTATAGAAACTAATTTGCATGTGCAGATGTCTCTTTTGGGCAAACAAATAGGGACAACTATACACTGTACAGGCTGTCTGAAAGCATATTCTCATAGGCACAAATCATCAAATTGAGGGGAAGAAATGAAATATTTTCAGTGGCTCATGAATTATCAGCAATCTCCCCAGTAATATGTAATTTTATAGTAAAAGTGATGCTATAGCACAAGGTGAGGTCTGAATTCCTACTTAAACCCCAGAATTATGGTAATTTTTGTCTGGCAATGGGAAGAAAAGTGAACAAATGAATGTTATATGTGGAAATGTGATATATTACATGTACATTTACCATTTAGCTAACACTACATCTTTCGATGTTTATAATTGTAGTGGTTTGGAAATATTGTGACCATGGATTGGTGGGATGACTTGTGGTTAAACGAAGGATTTGCCAGTTATTTTGAGTTCCTGGGAGTAAATGCCACAGAACCAGATTGGCAAATGGTAATTATTTCTGTCTTGTGAAGTACTGGTGGGGCTGAGGGGAGCATTTTGGAAAGGAGTAAAAATTAGATAAGGATGATGAAGACTTAAAGTATATTTTTAGGAAACTAACATAGTGCAGTGCAACATAAAAAAAAGTTGTTTTAAGCTTCTCTACCTACCTATGTTATAGTTTGAGACTAGTCAAAGTAAACTTTGTAAAGTTTTAGTCTGCATGGAAAAGTCATCCTTTTTTAATGAAGTAGGTCAAGTGTTTGGTTATCATGGCAAATAATACCTAGATGGATTCTGGACAGAGCTTTAGCAATTTTGCAAGGTTGTTGAAAGGTCTAACACTGGAAGATGGAGATTCTCCCTTATTTATTTAGTTGGGCTGTAATGTTTCTTCATGGGACTTGTCTAAGGATTGGGAACCTGGGCCTGTCTCCACAGCTTGGGCTGTTTGTTAAGGAAAATATCAGATCCTCCCATTCAGCTGCTGCCAGCGTTTTAAGTGTCATTTTAAATGCCTCAGCTCAATCTCTACTCCACACAGTGCAAAAATAGGTAGTGACAGAGGATGGCCCTCAGCACTGGCTGTGCAGCAAAACCAACTCAAGTCACTTTAAGGGGGTTGCAGACAAAATGGTAACTGTAAATATGCATTATACTCTCAGGAATAACAACCAGAAGTGAATAAAGAGAGGCTTCTTGCTCTCTCCTTTCTCCCCTCCGAAACAGATGCGATGGCACATAACGTGCAACATTTCCCTCAGCTGTACAAGTGTAATGAGATTCTGGCTACTAGAAAATATATAACATATGCCAATGAGAGGAAGCAGGGTAGGTTTTGCAAAGGTTGACCCTGTTGTCAAAATCTACTCACCCCTTTGCCTAGTGACTTTAGAAGTAGGCATTGCTTACTCGGTGCTTCAGCTGCCTCCCTCCCTGCTCCCCATAACTCTCTCTTCTCATGTATGTTATGTGAGGCTGAGAATAAAATCATTCCTGGGTCACTTCTTTTACACTTTGAAGTAGAGGATCTGTTGTGCTACCTACAAAAAAAAAAAAAAAAAAAAAAAAAAAAAAATGGGGGAAGTAATAATTAACGAACCCAAAATTTAAAATACCATTTTGTACTTAGATAACATGTTCATTTAAGATCTAGAGCCATTTCAGTGTTAGCATTCTAGTGAGTAGTAGAAGAGGAAAACTAAGTAGAGAATTAGTCTTTTTCAGCCAATATGGATTAGGAAGTAAGGGGATTTTGACTGCAGGCCACTTAATTGTTTAGAAAAATAATAATTATAATTCCTTTAAAAAAAATCATAAACCTTGGGATGGGGAACCTGCATCCTTCCTCCCTCCTTCCCTTCCTCCTCAGCTCCATTTTTGCAAGAGGAACCCATAATGCTTTGCAGATATTGTCACACTGCTGAAATTGGTAATACAAATTCTTTTTTTTGCCTACTGTGTGGGGTTTTGTGTTATGATACACATGGGAAAACAGGATTTGAAAAATGGAAGTTATCTTAGTTAAGGAAAAAATTTATCCCTCCCCTCTCAGACATAAAGCAGCAGTTTGCAAGTCCTTCTTTAAAGGAGGCAAAATTTCATTCCATTTTCCTATTGCCTCTCCCTAGAGAAGCTGCAGTTCAAGCAATTTTGTGAAATTAGTCATATACTCCTGCCTTTGTTTCTATTCTAACACATTCTCTTTCTCAGCTTGAACAGGTTTTAATTGATGATGTGCTTCCTGTGATGATGGATGACTCTTTGCAGTCTTCTCATCCAATTGTGGTGGATGTGTCATCTCCATCTGAAATCACCTCTGTGTTTGATGGGATATCCTACAGTAAGGTAGCATACCCTCCTGGTGTGACTTTGGATGCAAAGAAAATGAGGGCTTGGGAGAGGAGATAAAGGTCAGGGGAGCTTATAATAATAGCTCCCAACCCACTTGGGCTGTGTCTGTGTGGATCTTTTTCCAGGACATTCCTGACTATTGTCAGTGATGATTCAGTCAAAAGCAACTGTGAGAGAAGCAGCACAGCCAGAGCCACCGTGCACCAAACCTGCACACAGACATGCACGGAAATCACAGTGTCAGCAGGTTCTGCCACTGGAGTTTTTGGTTTTAAAGTTATCCAAAACTACATACTAAGCACATCCTTCTCCCACCACCTCATGTGCTGATGCAGCCCAGTTATGTCAAGCCTCATAATCTAATGCAAGGGTAGATGATGCAAGGGAAGATGTGCAGGTGTCCTCTCTCTCACTTTCCCATCTCACCTTCGGGGCAGTATAACCAAGCAGTGAAAATAGCAAAGTAACTTTCTGTCTCATGTTGCTCCCAGTATCCCAGCCACTCAAGAAGCCCTATCAAAGATGGACTACACCAGCCTCTACTGGCATTGGCCCTAGACTGGGAGATAAGTTAGCTCCACATTTCACTGACAGCTGTGGAGTTCAGGACTGACTTGGAGTAATCTGTAGGCCGGGAGGTGGTAGTGGACACTCCATTAGGTATTTGCAAGCTTTATGCTCATCTTGGGATTGTTCCTATCAGTGGCGGTGGGGACCTGTGCCCATAAAGGTGCTCTCAGGAGCCAGCTGGAACTGACTGGATGAATACCTTGGGTTTTTCTGAGCAGCAAGACACCAGGATGCTGGTGCAATCCAGCTGCTGCTGTGACCAGGGTGCACAGGAGCCTCCTTCTGCCCACAGCCTCTAATAGTAGTAGCTGTGTGTCACAGTTTAAGCCCAGCCAGCAATGCAGAACCACGCAGCCGCTCGCTCACTCCCCCCACTTCTTTTCTCCCTCAGCTCCCAGAGGGATGGGGAGGAGAACCGAAAGAATGTAACTCCCATGGGTTGAGGTTAAGAGCAGTCCAGTAACTAAGGTATAATACAAAACCATTACTGCTACCAATAATAATAATAATGATAAGGGAAATAACAAGGGGAGAGGACACAACCGCTCACCACCCACCGACTAATACCCAGCCCGACCCGAGCAGCGATCTGGGCCTTCAGGGTAACTCCCCCCAGTTTCTATACTGGGCATGACGTGCTGTGGTATGGAATACCCCTTTGGCCAGTTTGGGTCAGGTGTCCTGCCTCTGCTTCCTCCCAGCTTCCCCTCCTCCCTGGCAGAGCATGAGACTGAGAAAGTCCTTGGTCAGAGTAAACATTACTGAGCAACAACTAAAAACATCGGTGTGTTATCAGCGTCGTTCCCAGACTAAAGCCAAAAAACAGCACTGCACCAGCTACTAAGAAGGAGAAAAATGACTGCTACAGCTGAACCCAGGACACTGTGTGGGGCAGCAGCCAGGAGCTCAGCACTTACAGAAAACTGCTTTGAGGTCCAGAGCATTAGAGAGGTGAGCAGCCATCCTGAGGATCACCATTTTGATGTGATCAGCTAGGATCCACGCTAGAAAGCTGAAGCCAGCTTGTCTCCCTCCATTGCAGATATAGCCAAAGCCATTTTGTCCTTAGGCAACCCTTAGACACGGAACAAAACATGTGTCCCCCAAAATCCCTGGTATCTAACCAGGGAGTCCCTTGACTCAAGGGCTCTGACAACACTGTTGCTTCTAGTTATTTTTTTTTCAGTGCATTAAGAGACAAGTCTGAAGAAGCACAGAGGAAACATCCCTGTCCCTCTTCCCTCTCACCACCATACATGCCACTAAGATGAGGAAGGAGCTGGGACTCTACTCACTCTCTCCTCAACCAGCCAACTCCCATGTTGCTTCTGAGCCTCATACACCATGCTTGTGTTGACAGCTTCTTGTATGAGTTGGTCAGTGTTTCCTATCTGATGCCATAACAAGTTTCCACTAAACACACAAAATCCACCATTATTAAATACTGCTTGTTGCTTTCCCTTCAAGCTCCAGTTATTGGCTAAGCATAAAGTATGTATTGCATTGACTTTAGCTTTATCTGTACTAGTCTGTAGCTGTAGATATTACTTTTATTAGCTAGACTTGATCCATCCATTTCCATCACTTTTCTGGTTTCAATTGTTAAATCCTCTATCCAACAATACAACCACTATTTATTGCATCATAAATGCCTCACAGTCAAATTATAAATTCTGTGAAAACCTGCATTGTGTAACACTGTTCTTAAATCAAGCTAACAAAAGTTAAGAAACATACAGAGCTAAATCAAATACTCTGGACCAAAATGTATTTTAGTGGTGATCTAAGCAAGACACATACTTTTGCATGGGCTGAAAAAACAATGGAGAAAAAAAATCCTAGCTTTTACTCATCTCTTTGTGCCTAGATAATTGCTACATGAACTCGTTTTTTTCTTTTTAAGTGAAAACACTTGAGGATTCGTGCATTGTTTGGGAACAGTCTGCTTGGGATATAATTTGGCTTGGGATATAATTTGGCTTGAATGAGAAAGTCTTCATGTAGATTTAGCTCAGATTTCTGTTGGTATTTACATATAAATGCGTGACAAAAATTAACTTGTTTCTTTATTTTGGCTTCTCTTTTGCATTTTTCTTATAAAAACAATCTCCTCACAATAATATTCATCACTAAACAAATAAAGCATGAATTGGAATGTTCTCTGTTAGTTTTACCAGAGCAATTATAGGGCTTATACAATCCTAAAACTCTAATGAAGTGCCTAAAGGTCTGGGGAGTCATTGCAGTATATTCTGTAAGGGAACTTTTAACTGTTGTATGATCAGTAGGGCATTATGTGCCTAGGAAAGCTGTACTAGAGTTGAGTTGGTGACTGCACAATTAATGTATATTATTTTTTTTATCTGCTCTTAAAAAGTAATTGCATCTCACCTCTTTTCCAGTTTAATCCTCTCTCTTAGTTTGAAAGACTCTATTAAAGTAACAATGAGATTTTTTTGTGTTTGTAGTTCAAACATTGATCACCTTTTCAGAAAAGCAGATACTTAAATTTAAGTTCTGCTAGAAATTTGCTTTTGGACCCCCACACTTTTGGAACCTCCCAGCTAAAGTTTAGGATTAAATGTTCCACATTTCTGCCATATACAATCTTGTCATATACTTGGCAATTGCTACAACTTTTTAGGAGAAGTTATGTGGGTGTGGATAAAAGACTCCCCCCACACATATCCCCATTAGTCAAGGTCAACCATTCAAATCAAGGTCACTTCCCTGAACCTCCTCATATAGTCGAAAGAAAGGAAAATTATTAAAACATTGGAGTTCCTATAACCAGTTATAGGAGTATCTGAGTTATTCTCAAATGCACTCCATCATGGACTACAGAGGAATAACAAAAACAGAGGGAAGGGACTGAAAAGTGGTAGTAGAAGACGCAAGGGGCTAACTAGACACTGCAATTTAAAGCAAAAGAAATCTTCACTGTTCCCAAATGCATGCATGAATGCGTATTTCTACTCTGACTTTTAATATAAATGGGATGGGACTGTCTATGAGAGATGATATCAGGTAAGAAGTGGCTGATAGACAAGGTCGAGTAGCTGAGCTACCCTAGTGCACACACGTGGCCTTACATGTATGACTATATTAATCATAAAAAGCCTTATGAAGGATATCTGTTCTAAATTTTGCTGAATCACTTTTGAACATATTTCATGGCAAGAGCACTAAATTACTGTATAGGAAAAGAGTCATCTGCTAACCACCTTGTCTCTGCAAGAACAGTCTGGAAAGCAGTTTGGGGCATATCTCTTCAAACACTCCTCTGCCATGTCTTCTGCAATCTAGTTGTTATTCTCAGACACCTAAATAGAGGAGACAGGATTTACTGAGAATTCACATAACATTCTTGTTTTCATGGGTCAACTGGATTTTTAAACCATTCATGGCATTAGGCTCTCAGCTGCCCTTTGATTTAGTTGGGAAAATGAAAATATGATAATCCTAAAATCGTATTTTGTGTTTTAGATTGGGTTTGCACTGCTTTTGTTTTTCATCATTTTGTGCCCCACTCTGTTCTTTGTTCCATGCGACTCTTCTGCTTTTCTCTCCTGTCTTCCCTTTGTTTCTTTCTTCTTTCAAGGTCTTAGTTGTTGTTTTTCTCTGACACACAAGTAAGTAAGTTTTCTGGTCCAAATTCTACCCTGCTTCAGAGGCCAAAGCTCTTACACCAGTCCTCAGCAATTCACATTCTAAATGTTGAGTTAGCATTCCCAACATGTAAAGGCCTAGACTTGCAGCATTTTTGGAGCTGTTGGACAGGGCTAGTTTCCAGCTGCTCTCTTTGAAGAGCAGCTTCTGAAGAGACTCTGAGGAGGACCCTTGTCCTCTTCAAAGTGAAACAGGGAGCCCAACTCACACAAACTGGTAGAGTGGCAAGACAGTAATCCCCCAGCAGCAGGGCTCAGGAGCCCTTCTGCTGGCACAGCTGAATGTGGAAATGCATGTCTGATCACAGCTAAAGACCAACTCTCACATCTAGAATTAAGCTCCAGCAGACAGGCATGCCACGCCATGAAGGAATTGGAAGAAATACTTCTTTCATCAGATGGACAGTTTCTATTTTTGCCTTTTAAAATATTCATCCACATGTTACTTTTAAGATTAATGGAAATCCAGTGTTAAACCTGTGTAGAATGATCTTCTCCCCTCTCCCTTTGTCCTCAGGGTGCATCGATCCTCAGAATGCTTCAAGACTGGATGACACCAGACCTGTTCCAGAAAGGCTGTCAGGTAAAGGTGGCACCAAAACACGTCAGAAATACAGCCTATCCTCATGTGACAGTAGTAAAACCATTATTAAAAAAATGAAAATCAGAGATCCTGGTAGTAGTAGCAAAAGTATGTAATGCATACTTCCCAAACAGAGGAAGGTTATCTACCCTTTACTTTGAACTGACATTTGTTGTCTTTGAAGTATTATAGCACAGGTTACCACATTTATTCTTACCTCCCTCCCTCCTGGAGAGCACATTTGTGGGGTACTACAAGACAGTTGTATTTTCCTTTATTTTTCCATTCATATATTCAATCAGTTCCAGAAGATGGGAAAATACAGCCACCTTGTCCACAAGAGAATAACACTTCCTCTCCACACAGAGCCTTCAAGATCATTAAAATAGGTAGCTGTAGCTAACAGTGAAACAAGTAGCACCATCTACTGACTAAATATCACCAGGATCCAGATAACGGCAGGAAAACACGCTTTAACAAGTC